AAGACGTCACCAAGGCCGAGCTCCGCGAGGCCCTTCGGCCCTGGCTCAGCGCGGCCGAGGTGGACATCAACTGCGCCCGCTTCGACAGCAACACCCCCAGCAAGCGAATCTCCATCACGCTCCTCGGATGCGGCACGGTGGACATGCCGTGTGGCAAGGCTCTTCATCATCATCATCATCATCATCATCATCATCATCATCATCATCATCATCATCATCATCATCATCATCATCATCATCAGTATTATTATTAGTATTATTATTATCATCATCATCATCATCATCATCATCATCGTCATCATCATCATCATCATCATCATCATCATCATCATCATCATCATCATCATCATCATCATCATCATCATCATCACCACCACCACCATCATCATCATCATCATCATCATCATCATCATCATCATCAGCACCATCTTCATCTTCTTCATCATCATCACCATCATAGTCATCATCATCAGCATCCTCATCATCATCATCTGCTTCGTATTGACCGCGATAGGCGCCAGTTCTCTATCCGGTCGGTTGACCAGAGCATCCGCCCTGTACGTCAGTGCCGACAGGAGCCAGAAGTTGGCGCGACCCTGTGGTAGTAGTACGCCTTGCCGGACGTGTCCTTCGTACTCGCCCGTCCGTCTGTGAGCTGACGGCTCCGATCGTCTCGGCGCGCAGCTGATGGCCCTCGTATACGTCGTAGCTCAGCTGGTTGCCCTCGTAGCCGAGCTGGTGGCCCTCGCTGCTCAGCTTGCGACCCCCGCAGTTCAGCAGATGTCCAGGGTAGTCCAGCTCGTGGTCATCGCAGACTCGACACGTGCCCCTCGCAGCTGGGTTCGCAGCTCAGCCCGTGGCCCCAGCAGCCCTGCTGGCGGCTATCGTGGTTTCGCTTCTCGGCCCTCGTGGCTCTGCTCGTGGTTCTCGTGGCTCTGTGCGTGGCCGTCGCAGCGCAGCTTTGGCCTTCGTGGGGCAGCTGGTGGTTCTGAGAGCTCTGCTGGTGGCTTCTGGAGCTCCGCCTGTGCGTAGCTCAGCTGGTGGCCTTGGGGGTCTGCTTGCTGCCCTGGGAGCACACGCTGTGGCCCTCGTAGAACCTCAGTTGGTCCTCGTAGTTCAGCAGGTGGCCCTCGTAGCTCAGCTTGTGGCTTTCGTGGCTCTGCTTGTGGCCCTCCTCTGAGCTCAGCTCGTTGCCCCGTAGCTCAGCAGGATGCCCTCGTAGCTCCGTCGCTGGGTCCCCTAGCTTAGCAGGTGTCCCTGGTAGTTCAGCTGGTTGCTCTTGTAGCCGCCGTAACTCAGCGGATTGCCCTTGTAGCTCAGCCTGTGGCCCTCATAGCTCTCGTTGCTGCGCAGGTTGCCCTGGTAGCTGTGCCAGTGGTTCTAGTCGGTCTGCTTGTGGCCCTTGTAGCTCAGCCTGTGGTCCTCGTTGCACAGCTGGTTGCTTTCGTATTTCTGGCAGTGGCCCTTGAGGCTCAGGATGCGGCCGCGTTGCTACATCGAGACGTGGTCCTCGTAGACCCGCAGCTCTCCTTCGTAGCTCAGCTGATGGGTACTCCAGAGTTCGTAATAAAAGGGAGGGGGTCTGGACCCTCCAAGACAAGCCATTTCAGACCCCCCCTCGTGGGAGAACCCTCCCAAATATCGTCCCCAGACCCCCGCAGGCCCTCCAAGATAGCCTGGAAGAGACCCCCCCCGAAATGAGACCCCCCTCCCTTTATTACGAAATCTGGAGTATCGTAGCTCTGCCTGAGCTTCTCGAAGCTCTTGTTGCCCTCGTAGCTCGGCCGGCTGTCCTCCAAGTTCTGCCGGGGGTCCTCGCAGCTCCGCTGGTCCTCGGCGCTCCGCTGGTCCTCGCCGCGGGGCCCGGGTGCCCTCCTCGCTCTCGCACCCCTGGTCCTGCCCGCCGAGTTCGGTCGAGTCCAGGCCTGGCGACGATGGGGGGGGATCCTCGGCGACGCAGCCCTAAGTCGGGCCTGTCCCTCTGCTGGAGGAATGTTCGACACTAGTCGAAAAATAGTCTGGGGACGATCTTGTGTTCATTCCCTACCCAGGCTCTGCCTAGAAGGGTTCTTACTCTGTTGGCTTAAAGGGGCCGGGCAGTGCAAATCGCCCCAGGCGGTTCCCCCAGTCGCCTGGGACCCAAGCAAAAGCAACAGCAAAGGTAAAAGCAAACGCGCGGTTCCCCCAGTTGCGCTCCCTGCGTGCCAAGCAAAAGCAAAAGCAAAGGCAACAGTGAAGGCAAAAGCGAAGGCAAAAGCGAAGGCAAAGCAAAAGCATAGCATAGCATAGCATAGCATAGCATAGTTAGCATATAATGGCATAGCATAACATAACATAACATAGCATAGCGCAGCATAGCATAGCATAGCATAGCATAGCATAGTATAGCATAGCATAGCATAGCCTAGCCTAGCCTAGCCTAACCTAGCCCAGCATAGCATTACTAGAGGCTCCAACTCCTAGGTAGGGTCGCACTGGGATATTTTTGTTTGAAGATTTGGGGCGTATGTTTGGACAATTTTCCATTCTTCGTCCACGATCCCCCTGCTTAGGAGGACATGCCCGACCTGAGGCCAGGCGTGGGGTGCCGCCGCGTGGGGGATGCCCGGCTTCTGCCCGGGCCTGCCCTCGGGCGGAGGCGGGGGCGGCGCGGGCTCCCCAGAGGGCAGGGGCGCAGGCGAGGAGCGCGCCCGCGGGCCCCGAGGGCACGCTCTCCGTCGCGGCGCACGGGGCCCACCTCGAGATCGTCGGCTGCCAGGTCGCACTCTGGGTTTCTGGGTTTCGTATCAAGCGTGGGGAGGGCCCCCCCCGACGCGAAGATCGGGACAAAATCGGATCGGGATAACTCGAAATCTCTGAGAGTCGGCGGGTTTGGAGGATGTATTCGGCGCCGCGGCCGCTCCAGAGCGTTCCGGGACGCTCTGAGAGCGCTCCGGAACGCTCTGGAGCGATTAATCTCGATCCAAGCCCTGTTTTAACGCTCTCCGTCGCAGCGCACGGGGCCCACCTCGAGATCGTCGGCTGCCAGGTCGCACTCTGGGTTTCGTAACAGGCGTGGGGGGGTGCCCCCCCGACGGGGGGTCAACCTCGCCTCGTCGGCGCGCCGCGACGGGGGTCGGAGCGCCTTCGGCGCGCGGTGGCTGCCCGCGACGGGGGCCGATGGGGGGCTGTCGGCGGGGGTGACGCCTCCCCGACGCTTATTAAGAAAAGTCGGAGTAGCGTTCCGCGTTCCAACTGTCACTGTAGCCCTGGGGGCCGTGGCCGTTGCGGCCGTAGTCCAGGTAGCCGTCGTAGCATGCGTGGCCGCAGGCCTGGGTGCCCTCGTACAGTCGAGTTTGATTGGTAGGTCGGCCTTGCCGAAATAAGGGCACCTTTGTGTCTTGTGTTTCGTGACCCATGCCCTCTATGTTCCACTGGCAATGAGGCCATCGGAAGGGTCTCGTGTCCTCTCGCGTGTCCTCTCCAATCCACCCCGACTGTAGCTCAGCTGGCCATCGTAGTTCTGGTTGGCAGCATCGTCCAGGGGCCGATCCTCGCCGAGGGAGGGTAACTACCTCTAGGCTCACATACTGCTTGTGGTATTCGCGGTCGTGGTTGCCGTGCTCGCGGTAGCGGTCGTAGTTACCATTCTCGTAGTCGTGTTTGTCGTTCTCGCTGTCGTAATTGCCGTGGTTGCGGTTGCCAATGCCGTGATCATCTTTGGAGCCTGGCTGCCTGTCACGGAGCTCTTGGCTTTCGAATCCTGGTTGCTTGGTACGCAGCTCGTCTTATGTCATATGCTTGGTGGCGCTGGCGAAGCCAGATACGTTGTGGGCGGCAGTGGTGACAGTCATGATGTCCTTTGGCTTTCGATGGAGCTCGTGTCTTGCACAGTGCCCCATCCGCTCGAGAGCTGCCGCTGCTCCCAGTCTCGGCATGGCGTCTGCCGGCAGGTCTCAACAGACAGTGGCAGGGGACCACATGCGAACCCTGCCCCTAACCCCCCACGATCTCTGAGGGGGTGGGTGGGGTTCACTTCGCTCGGGCCGAGCGAAGTGAACCCCACCCTCTCCCTCAGAAATCGTGGGGGATTAGGGGTAGGGTTCTCATATGGTCCTCTAGGTGGGATGAACTCCCCCAGCACTGTTGGTTTGCGAAGCTCGGCCTGCACGTCTTGAGGCTCAGCCTGTAGATCTCCAGGCTCGGCCTGTAGGTCTTGAGGTTCCGCCTGGAGATCTTGGCGTGTCGCTTCGCGGAGGAGTGGCGCCGGCTGCCGCCGGCCCGCGGGGCGCGCCGCGAAGCCGAGCGCGGGGGATGGATCCCGCATGTGGCCCTGCTCCCTCCTCCTCCTCCTCCTCCTCCTCCTCCTCCTCCTCCTCCTCCTCCTCCCTCCTCTCCTCCTCCTCCTCCTCCTCCCTCCCCTCCTCCTCCTCCTCTCTCCTCCTCCTCCCCCCCTCGCCCTCGTCCTCGTCCTCGCCCGCGTCCTCCTCGTCCTCCTGCAACTCGTTATTGCCCTCCCCCTCCCTTCTCCTCCTCTGCCTCCTCCTCCTCCTCCTCCTCCTCCTCCTCGTCCTGCTCCTCGTCCTGCTCGTCCTGCTCATCGTCCCCTCGTCCTCCTCCTCCTCAACTTACCTGGCCAGTGTTGGGCGGAGATACAGCAGCTCGCTCTCATAGGGTCGAGCAGCCCACTGCACTTCTGAGGCCTGTCGCGCCTTGGGAGCCTCCGATGGAGTCCTCTCGTCTTGCTCCCCTCCCTCCAGGAGGCGGCCGAGCTGGACGAGGCCCCCCGCACTGCCGCCGACGCGCCGACGGCGGACCCGCCGCCAGCCGGCGAGGGCGACGACGACGACGAAGGGCCGCCAGCCGCGGCGGAGGCGCCCGCGCGCGGGCGCGCGGGCGGGCTGCGGCCCGCCGCGCGTCGGCGCGGGCAGCTCGAGCCGGGCGAGGACCCGGCCGCCGCTCGGCTCGGGCAGCTCGAGCCGGCCGAGGAGCCGCCGGCCCGCGAGGGCCGGCGCGGCGCC